ATTATTTTTCGCAAACTATATCTTATAAAGGACATTGATCTTGAAAGTCAAGATCTACGGTGAGCCAAATATTAATTTTTAGACTATCTAATAGACATAAGAGTTCGAAAAAGTTGAACATGTTTTCCTTATTAACTTCAAAAAAAGCAAAATAGAAAGTCCTAGTGACGGGTAACTTCTCAAAGAATGATGAATTGACAATTGTTATGAACAGAATTTCGACGATCTGTAGTCTGGTATTGAGCATGATTTGACTGGATTAAAAACTATACCGGTTAAAAACTTAACCGGATCATAAAATTAATCGATTACACGTATTTGATAAATTTAAATATATAGTATAACGGATTTAAAGTTTCTTAAACTACATAGTATTTGTAACACAATGACGTCCCCATAGCTTTCTCAACTTAGCGTTAGTAACATGCGACTGTGTGACTAACCGCAACTATAACGCAATTAAAATCGATAATAGATCGCGCTGTTGGGCAAGTCACTATCAAATAACAGATTAAACATATTTTAACAATTAACTATTACAACTTTTATTAATTAAATTAATAAAAATAACGTAAACCGACCCCCCCCCCCCCCCCCCCCCCAAAAAAAAAAAAAATAAGTTGTTAAATAATAAATATACAAACAAATAAATGTTATTAAATATAGCAGAGCATAATATATCAAAACCAAGAGACTGCAACATAATAAAGATGATAGCACATACAATTAACAACAACCTTATTAAAGTTACTATTATTTAACATGTTATAAAGAATGAGTTTAGTTATTGATGGAAATTCATTAATTAACAAGAATAAATCATTAAATTCATGATCATGTATTAATGAATGATTAATAATTATATGCAGATACGAAGTGTCAGAATTTTTCTATCGTTTGTAAGGTGTTAGATAAAAACATTAAACAATCTAGGCTTAACAATAGTTAAAAGATAAAACGTAAAAATTAGAGTTACAATGAACAATAGTTACTATGCAATAAAAAACAAAAAGCAGCGTGAAACACGGCATGCAAAAAAAATTCTTAAAGTTTAAAACGTGGTTCATGCGTAACGGAATCTGAGCACCAAGAATCGTCTCTAAAGTTTCAGTCACCGGGATAGACGAAAAAAGGTTTTTACATTTTACTGTTACACGATTATACAAAAAAAAAGACCACTGTATTTATCAAGCTCTATTACAGCTGCTGTCGGCCAAAAAACACGAGGTGATTTAAAAAATAACGGCGCTAAAATTCAAAAATAATCATAATGACATGGAAGCCATCCGCAGCAATATAACTTATTACAAGTCGTACACTTGTCTATTCTTTTCTTTTCACCCAATTGAAAATTAGGAGATGCAACAATTATTAAGGACAATCTCTGTTTACCAAGCTCATATCCATATTGCTGAACTGACGGCATTTACGTTTACGTTCAAAGTTTGCCTGTGATATACGTAGGCGTATAACGATGATCAGTATTTACGACCCAGAGAAACGATGAGTTTAATCTCTACTATAAGGCTGGATTTGTGTAGGAAACACTGATACGGTTGTACATTGGCATAGGCTTAGTCGTAATTCACTTTGCTTGTAATGCCGTCATATCCCCCTAGCATTGCCGCATCGTAAAAATATTGACCATCCAAGTCTAGTAATGGCCGAGGCGCCGCCTGAATAACTTACTAATCAAATATTATAATCTTAATCTTGCCAGTAAGAAATGCCACGTAAAATCCAAGTCCAGGATCATTGTTGTCCGACCAATGCCATTAAACCAATATTGTAATTACTACTGCCGCAGGACGTCGTCGCACCGTTTGTGACGTTGATAAAAGACCAATTAATTATCATTAAGTATCGAATTCTATCCAATTATACCAATTATAACTTACTGTTATAGACAAAATCTCCTTCTTTTATTGTAACCCTAGATTTTTCTTATTTTAATAATACATTTTTACGTTTCATAAGTAATTTTAAAAATTAGGCAGGTGGGTACCGCTTTGCGGAACATACGGTATTGAGTGAGTCAATATTATGGGTGTGTAAAATTTGAACTCAATGATATATCATTGTACATGAAACACGATTTCTTGTGGAGACGGTCTGTCAGCCTATATCATTAAATATATTTCGTGATATGTTTTTTTTAATACAGCTATTAAAATCTTAAAATCATTTATTTTATTTTATTTATAGTATGGAATCTATGGATACAGTAGGTTGATAAATTGTTTTTGGAAAATATTGCAAACATTATATCATTGGAATTTAATTATTGTGATTATATACATTTACACCATACAATAATATCAACTTTTATAATTATTCAAAACGTAATAACATCTTTCTATAAATAATGTAAAACAGTAAAAATAGATTGATAGTATAAATGAATATAATAAAATAATAAAAGAAATAAAAAAAAATGTCATTGCGTGTAGAAAAATTCATAATAAAATAATATAAGTAGGTACGTAAAAGTTTTAAGCTCGTTAATTTTCTTAAGATTTAAGCAATTTTGGTTTGGTTTTAACACCCCAAATAGACTTAAGAAAATTTAATTACCTTTTAATATTTTGAAATAAAATAATTCATTTTTTTTTTTTATAAAAAAAATAAATATATTAAATTCTTACTTTAGAATTTTTTATTATTATAATCAACAATGTTAAATACTGTTTTTATAATATTGTACACATAAAATAGAATAAAACTATTCCTAATTGTAAATGAAAAATTTAAAAAGATAATATTACATAAATAACAATAAAATGAATTATACATTTTAATTAAAATAGATTTCCTATGTTAGTTCATTGCTGAAAATCATAATATATAAATAATTTTATCTTTTTTTTAACTTGTGTACAGTGGCGTATTTGGCCAATGCTTCCACTGAGGTCCTCAGTAGGTGTGTCCAAGTTGAGTGGCTACAGAACCTTTATTATTATTTATAACATTAAAAAAAAACATTGAGTATTATTTATTTTTCATTATTTAAATTATATTGAAGTAGAATATAATTTGATTTTAAACACAAAAAAATTTATAACATAACTGTTTAATAATTTAATGTCTGTATTTAAGGGAACACGCCTTTAATAGGCCATAGGGTTTTCAAGTTACATGCTTCACTACTGCCTGTATGGACGGGAGTATAAGAACGTACTTATTTGAATGGTATGTGATATTATGTGGTATATACCTATAATTTGTCGAATAAACCAGATTTCAATCATTACAACGTTCAATGATTACAAATTGATTTTATTATGGAACTAAAGTTATGAATCATAAGTGGTTTAAATATATTATAAATTTTTCTATTTGGCATGGGCCCTGTGTATTAAAGTATTCCAGGGCCGCCGGCAATTGCTAGCTATCCGAGTGGGCCAGACCGACACTCTGGCTCTAAGTAAATTATTCTAGATTATATTTTCGGACATCAAGGCAGGGTGATAACGGCATTTTTGTTACTTTATTAACTAGATCATAAATCTACGATGGGCATTTAAATATCAATCTGTTTCATGTTTGTGGCATGATGGTTGTTAGATTAATTTATGGTCTATACTCTATGTACAGATCGTCATAATTCACAAGATTTCAGTTTAAATGAACATCCTATCTTACGTGTGAAAGTGAAACGTGTAGACACTGAACAGTGAACAGTACTATTCTATACTGTCTACTACAATAATATAAGTCCATAATTTGTTTATTAAAACCGTTACGCGATGAGGGAAACAATCATTTGGACTTATTCTCACTTCGGAAACCAAATTTTCACTTATTTCACGTTAAATTTGAACAACATAGTTTTTTCTAAAAAAAAAAAAAAATACGAATAACCGTAGGTTCAGCTGTCTTTCGTATATCGCAATGTGATCAAAAGTTTACTATCGAAATTAATTGATATATATACTATATAGTTACTATATGGTGATAAGTCTAGAACCTAGAAATCTAAACTTGAGAGTTGTGTTATAAATTATCAATTAGCTGTTTAGTATCTATTGCAAATTGTAGCAATTACGAATTATTTTTATTCTATGAAAATTATAATAACAGAGGAAACAGTATTCTAGTCTATAAAATAGGTACCTGCTTATAAGTTAAGTACTTATAACTTTAGGTATAACTGGTATAAGCATTTAGTAATGTTTTGTCTTTATACAATAGTTTTGTATACTTAAGCACTCAAAAATAATAAGTTATGTTCTTTTAATATATCTATGCGATCTAATTTAGTTAAAAATAGTAATTAATTTAATAATAACTCAATAAGTATAGTAATTAAATACTTAAAATATGTAAAATTACATTGCATAATTATTTTCAAAATTATGTTCAAATGTTTATTGTTTCGCGTATACGTACATAATGTAAATAAGTAGATATTTGTTTAAGAACTTATTTCTTTCACGTAAGTTATAAATTTATAATATAAATTATGTTTAATTCAATGCCTTTGTTTCCAAAAAAAAAAGTTTCAATTACGTTTATTGTCCAAGAATAATATTTGTTTCAATTATCACATTTTTCACAAAACATTTGTTCCAAATTTTTTTCGGAATAAATACTTTGTCGAAACAATTTTTTTTTTATGAACTACGGGTATTATTTTGTTTTGATTATACGATTACATAATGATTTAGAAATTAATTTAATAAATGAGAAGAACAATTATAGTGTAGCAAATAGACGGCATAAGACAAATGCATTTTAAAAAGTGAAAAAAAATTAATTAACATAATAACAGTTTTAAAATTACCAACGGACGTATTTAGTGTAATTAAATATTAAATTATTGCGCACAGGGCACCCTCTGGGAAATTAATATGAGTTTAAATGCCGTATGTGAGACAAAGATAGTATGTCATTAGTGTTATCTCTGCTTAAAATTCTCTCTCAGGCAACACTGCTTGTGAAGCATTCCAGTTATCATTATTCTATTATATTGTGTATTATCTTTATTTAACAGTCAACATTCAACATATTAAATTTATTATATAATATTTTTAATAATTATAATATTAATTTATCGTAGGTAATATACCTACCATGTTATTCTTTGATTCTTATCAATCATTTCAAGGAATGAATTAAATAAATACTAAATGATGATGACGAGTAATCAAATTAGACAATAGACAAGAAGAGACAAAAGTGAAGAGTTAAAAGCAAACATTTGAGTTCATATTATGTAATTGATTAATTGTTGTTTATTTAATCAGTTTAATTTGCAATTCTTTCATGAACGATCAGTTGTAACAGCTTCTAATCCCAAGGAAATGGATTTCGAAAGGGTGTTTTTGAAGGCTTATAACATTTTGAAGTGGGATGAGTTCACGTGAGTTTTATACCATTATGTATTCTGTGCTACCAAAATAAGTTATTATGTGACTAAGTCTTTTTGTTTTGTATAGTGTTTTGAATAATGACCGTGCATCAATCAATGAGAAAATCACTAACAAAGTGATCACCAAACATGAGCTGTTATCGCAGTTTAAAGTAGAGTTGAGTTTGCTTAATGCGTGTAAACACAAAATTAAAGTAATTTTTATTTTTACAATCACGACAATGTTTTGAATTGATTGTTAACATTTTAATTTTACATTTTTTTATAGGATGAGTTGGAACAGAATTTAGATGTTATTGACACTCAAGTACTCGTCCTCTTAAGCAAGCGTGTTATTGATTTGTTTGATCATATGCATGTATTGTTTTCTATTGATGAGGAGCTGTTATCTTATTACATCAACTTTTGTCAAGATAATGTAGGTGAAAATATCAAGTATTTAAAATTTTTTTTTATCATTTATTAAGTTATTTTATTACTGTTATGTGTTTTTAATAAAAACTTTTTATAGTTAGTATATTAGACTCTAATAACTGTTAGGTGTAGTCAGTGGTGCAACTAGCTTAATTGTTTTGGGGGGACTGAAGTCCTACGTTTTTTGTGACTGACACAGAACAAAATGATAGTACAGTGAAAACTGTCTAAAGCGAACCCTAAATAAAATGGAAAACTATCCAATACGGAATTTTTATATGGTCTCGGCACGTTCCTATAGTTTTTTATAGACGTTTAACTTCAATAAAACAGAACCTTCATAACGCGGAAACGGAACAATTTTGTAAGTCCCATGGAAGTAAAAACCTTGCATAAACCGGAAAAATGACACTACGTATTAAATCTAAACCAAAAATAAGGTATAAAATATAGATATGGTGATGTACAATGTACATCGTTAAATAGTGATAGATAAAGAAGATAAAATTGTTCTATAGGTACATATTCGTAAAATATAATTTGTACATTGTAGTATTGTACATACAATGCATATTATAGCATCTTAAACGATACAAAATTTCTTCTTTGTAACTGTGAAACAGTCTTACACCAACAGTCGTACGTACACTTTTAATTTTATTTTACCTTCCGTTCATCGCATTAAATATTAAAATGCCAAAATATTAGTGTCTTTCATTAAATGAAAAATATCAATTGATCAAATTTAATGAATTTTAATGAATTATATTATGTATTTAAAACGATAAATTGAGAAATATTCTTTGATATTTCTTATTCATTTGAATTGAATAATCCGGAATTTTTCCGTTTTATTGAATAAAGTGGAAAACTGCTTAAAGCAGAATTTTTTATTGGTCCCATGCAATTCCGCTTTAGACAGTTTTCACTGTAACTTTATAACACAGTGTTGCTACTAACCAGTAAAAAAAAAACCAATACGTATTTTTTCATAAAAAAAATCAGTATTTACTATTTTTCATGAACAAACATATTTTAAAAGTGCTAAACATTTGGGGGGGGGGGGGGTGGCTAACCCCCCCCCCTTATTTGCGCCACTGGGTGTAGTGAATTTGAGTTAAGGTATTTAGTTATTTATTTATAAATAAATAATTGTATAAAGTTATAAATTATAATAATCATTTTTTAAAATTAGCTTATGTATAATTTAATATCATACATTTATACTGTTAACTTAAATAGTAATTTGAGTAAAATACTAGTGTGCTTATTGCTACTTATTACACTAATTAAAGAATAATACCGAAATACTATGAAATTGAAAAGTGATTTAAGTGTACCAGTGTTTAATAATCATCATTATGGTTTAAAACACTGTAAAAATAAATAAATTACTTTTTATTAATGATTTGAAGCTATTATAAGTATCTTTAATTTTTATATAATACTTATAATAGAAAGTCTTTTAAGTATTTTAATTTTCAAATATTATACTTGTCCTATTTTACATAAATATGTCTTATCAATAATTTTGGTCTTGATAAATTTTAAATATATTAATTAATATAATAGATATTGAATTATTATAATATTCATAGTAGATAGTGTTTTTAAATTTTATTTAAATATTTTCCAAAATTATTATTTTTAATAATATAAAAAAAAAGAATCCATTATTTATTTAACATTGAACAAATTTAGTTTTATATAGTGTATTTTTATTATTGAATATAGTTTGTATTATAATTATAACATATAATTTATTTTATTTTTTTTAGGTAAGCTACATACATGTAGATCAGTTAGATATTTTGTTAGATGCTGTATTGTGTACAGTAAATAATCAAAAAATTTGGATACAACTGTTGAAGCTTCATTTGGAAATAAATAATTATGATAAGCTGATGAATGTTTTTCAAGAAGGTGTTCGTTCATTAAAAACAAATTCACTACCTTTATGGAGGATAATAATTAGATATATGCGAAATAGACGTCCTGATATGGTATGATACATTTATAAGTTATAACTTATAATGGATAGAAGTTATTCTCCTGATATTTAAATATTTTATAATTAATTTTTTTAAATGTATTCATATCATTCAATATTTTTATAGATTCAAACATTACTTGAAGAAGGCTCAAATATATCATATGAAAATATTTCTTTGGAAATTAGACCTAAATATTTGAAATGGTGTATAGAGTATAAAGACTTAGATGCTGCTCGTAAATTATTCAATGAATTAAAAGAGTTAAAGCCACCATGTTGTAAATTGTATTTAGTAATGATATCTGTTGAATTGGAGATATTAGATTGTGATTTAGGTACAGTAAGAAAATTGTATGATGAAGCTTGCATTCTATTTGGCAGAAATAACATTGGTAAGAAGTAATCAATACATATTTAGATTAAAATTCATCAAATACTTTTGGGTTTTTCAAATAATAATAAAATTATACAAAAACTATAAGTGATCTAATCAAAAATCACCATTCATAACTTGGGTTAGAATATGACCTTAAAAATTTTTCAAAATGCATATGAATATAATCAAAAAATTACCTAAAAAAGTTACTTAAAAAAAAATCAAGTTTGACTGGTCTAAATATTGTTTTATTTATTATGCATTCAATATATTCTATACATTTTTAATAAATTATTAATAGAAACTACATGTGTCGTGTTAGTGCATTTGTATGAGTTGTGATTAGTCATTAACAGGTACAATAGGTAATAAATGTTATATAAAAAAAAAATAAATTTATAGTTAAAAATGTAAAACTACAAAATAAAATATAAAATAGTTTCTTTTATGTCGTACATAACTGATTTATAATTTGGTATGCTATATGCATAATTCAAATAAAAAAATATGTAAATTTTATAAATATCTTAACTTACTCATATCAATTCATAACTAATGTTTCAAATCATAATCATAATTTCTACGACACTCCATTCTGATGACTACATTTTAATAGTCATTTAAATAGGTAAACTACACTTTTTCTGATTAAGAAGTCATCTTCATAACAATCCCCTAAGTTTAAAATCTACTATCTATCTCTATTCCGTAAATTCTAGAACTATTATAATATGGCAATGGCCTTATAACTTTATTCTTTAATTAATTAAATACATATAACTATTAATCTTGTGCCTAACTATGGTTTTTCTCCAATGCTTATAATCCTTATTATATAATATTACGTATGCTTATTGATTATTGTATTATTCATATTATATAGATTGTATAACTTGATAAATAAAAATAAAGCATAAGTTTGTATACATTGTAATGTTATATTTTTAGGAGTGTGGCTTGATTATATTCGTTTTGAACAGACTGATGGCTCCTTGAAATTAGTGGAAAGTATTTATTCTAAAGGATTATGGAAACTGGAACAAAATTTAAGGAATACTTTCATAGAAGAATATAATAATATTAAACGTGAATTTAAGTTAGTATTATATATTACATATATTCTATTTTAATATAATAACATTTTAATTCTTACCTAATGTTTTATTTTAGGGAAAAATTAGGTAATGAAATTATAGTCATTGATGATTGAAATATATATATTATATATTATGAAAACAAAAATGGCGAATTTATTTAGAGATCTCCTCATTTTATTTGTTGTTGAATTAATACTGTAAGTGGGTCACTTAATAATATTGATACCTTTGTATGGAGTTTGGCTTTGTTGAGTTATACAAAGCAAGCAGTGTAATACAATGACATTTCTATTAATGGTTTACTTTTTATCACTTATAAATTGCAATTTTTTCTGGTTTCTACAGTGATTACAGTACAGAAGTCTCACTGTACCATTTAGATGTCGCAGTCTATAAAAAATTGTGAATTTATGTATAGAAAGTTAATGATATTTGATTTATTTGATGTTTATAATTTAACAATTGTAACTTATTTAAATACTTTATCTATGAACATTTAATTTAATTTTGTCATAATAATTGTCATTGTAATTTTGTAATATTTATAAAAATTAATGATATAATTATAATGAACGTTATGTTTTATTTCTATTCATAATAATCAGTGTCCACGTAACCCTCGTCAGTAATATCTGTGTTTAGATTGTATTCGTTATCTTTTTTGATGAATGTGTCTGAACAGGCATAACAGACGCCAACATCTCTCCAACACTGTTCACAGTGTATGTAAACACATCCAACGGTATTGCAACCATACTGTTTGCCTGCATTCGTTTCTGGTTCACCACAAATTAGACATTTTCTTCGGCCACATGCAAACCATACCAGCCAGCCAAATAGTGTTGGGAACTTAAGTCTCAACATCAGAAAAATATCAAGGTCTTCCTAAAAAAAGAAAAGAAAAAGTAACGGAAAAAAGGACAATGTGTATCATGACATTCATATGACTACAATGAAAACAACACAATTTGATGGTTGTTTGATTCTCGACTTTTTTCTTTTCCACTAGGTACCCCTAAGCAAGTTACAGAAATTATTGAAAATATTCATGTGATTTGGTTAAATCTTATAATACTCTGGAAATTCATTGTAAATTGTATTTTCTTGAAGTTTGTTGAATTGTGTCTACAGTGGATATATTGTGTCATCTGGTCAGTGTATTTTTTTTTTTTTTACTGTAAACTAACCGATAATTTGTTTTCGCGTGCCAATTTTGCCACCTTTTGCTTCATGTATCTGAAGAATGCTGTTCGCTTTCTTAATGTTTCGTTGTACAGGTATAGCACTCTGCGCTTTTCTCTCTTCCGGAAAAATACCGCGCAGATCAGTCGTTTTAGCCGGCTGGAGTACCCGGCGAATACGGTCATAATGAACACTAGCATTAACGTGCCATATATCTTGTGTAGGTAATACGCATCCAATTTGTGTGGATTCGGTAGACATACTGTAAATAAGTAACTATTTAGTTAACGTAAATAATTTAACTTTAACAATCATTTAATGGTGAAAGTTACTATAAATTATAATATGTATGTTGATGATAAAAAGGGACGCCGGAACGATTTTTTAACTGTGGGGGCAAAAATATAATTATTATTATTCCTATAGCCTCATGGCTCTTAAGGTTATATTCTTTGAGAAGATTATTAAATTAAATATGATTTACGTTTATTTTTTAAATAATTAAGACAATGTAAAAATTAATACTAAAATATATTGTAAAACTACATTACAAAAAATATTTATCAATAATCTAGTTATTGCATGATGAAGTAACACTATGTGATTAAATGTACGTATATCTATAGTCTATAGATTACAGTATTGGTAAGGTTATACGGGTACACAACTAAAAATAAATTTAAAGATATTATTTAAAATGATGTAATGTCCATTGCCTTTTTTTACCTACTTACATAGGTTTTTTAATTAGGTTTGTGCTTTTGTTCATGGGGGCCCTGGCCCCATTAAACAATTACTGTGAGGACTATAGTTCTTACTGTCACTGTTGTTTTGGCGTCCCTGATGACATGTATATCCTTGGATAATATAAACGCCTACGATTAAAAGAGGTTTTTTTTCGACGTGGTGTGCAAACGCACTATGATTGCTATGTTGTAAAGAATACTAATAATATAATTTGTTACTTATATAAAATTATCTATTAAAATTAAACATTCATAGATAATTTGTGTATTATGAGCTGCCTATTTAAGGCGCCGCGCCGCAGTCGTTTTTTAGTGATTGAATTGTATAATTTTCTTAGTGTACCTATAATGTGAAAAAAATTATTTTGATTTTGCATCGTTTTGTTTTGATAACATGCACTTTTAGATTTATCTATTAAATCGTGGTGATAACCAGTGTCCAGTGGTATGCCCAGGAATTTTCTACGAGGAGAATATACGTATAATTGCTTAAGTAATAGTACATTTAAATGAATTATGATTCAGACAAAAATAGTCTATGCATATTGTGTACATGCGTGTATATAGAGTATTATTCTATAATTAGAATTAATTAGTTTTTAAATTAATATTCTAGCCAATTTTAGCGAATAAACCATGCATATTGAAATCTTAGTTTTCTTTTACCTGATAATTGATATTTGAAAGTCAGATCTAGACACCAAATTTTGTTTAACAAATCAAACTGTTCTTTGGAACTTAACTAAAATATATAATAATAATAACAGTAGCATATTTTTGTAAACAAGCAATACACTGTTTTTCAATAGCATTTAGAATGATAGGTTTGCCAATCTTTGCTTATAGGAGGTGAGAAATTAAATTATTTTATAAATTTAATGTTTTATTTTTATTAAATTTTGAGTAGCCTTAGTCCTTAAAATACATTAATTCAATAGCTTCAAATGGTTATTACATTTTCAAGTTATTGAATTATTATAAAAATTTCTGTGCATTACTTTATAATAGTTTTATTATTTATAATAAGCTTATACATAAAAGCTAAAATATTATTTAATCTTAAAATAAGCTTTAATTATTAGTTAAAACTAATAAAGGTCAGTTACTCAACTTAAAATCTAAAATTAGCCATTAGAATATAAATAATTATAATTATTATTCGTACAGTTTTAACTAAGATATATGTAACTCATTTAGACTATATATTTTTTATCCAAATTTAAGATTTTAAAGTTTACATTTTTTTAAATGGAAATAACTTATAAACCGGAATTATTAGAAAAATCTATATATTTTAAAACATTTTAAAAATTGCGGAGTAAATGTTAAAGTTAATGTATAAAAATACTTTGCAAAAATTAAATAACTAAATATTTCATAAAATAATGGAAATTAATTTTTATTTTTAGTGGCATAATATTAGGTAAAAAAACTCTAATAATGATATTTTGAAATTCAATAGGTACATACGAGTATAATTTATAAATTAACGTTAACATATACATATGAGGCATAAGCAAATAATTCTATCAGTGTTCTGTAATTGTATAAATAAAAAATAAAAATAAAAATAATTGTAAGTGTTACGATCACTGAATTTGGTTTAGTTTAAAATGTTGTGTTATCTCACAGAGAAAAAATAATAGAGGATTAGCTATTAATAGTCATAGAAAATCATCTACTGTTGTATTATGATCACACTTATATAGATAAGAATAGGTAATATACTAGTTATTGAAGCAGCTAATAACTTATATCTGATAAGTAATTACCATGATCTATCTTACCACGAACATATTTATTATTTAGAGGATTATTGCGTGTGAACATGATCATTGATCTGTAGTCTGTTTAGTGAATGTTTATAAGGCCAATGGGCAATAGTTTTTTGCTGATAATTAAAAGTTATGTCTTTAAAATAGTTCTAATATTGAACAAGTTGTTTTCTAAAAGTCAGCAAAAAAAAAAAAAAAAAAGTTAATGGGGGGGATATAACCCCTAACCTCCCCCCCTAGACAGGCCACTGGTGATAACTATCATATTATATTAATATGTGTGTACTATTTTTTTATTATCAAGCTTAGTTATTTTTACTTAAAATCATGTACTACGGTAGTCTGTAGGTATATAGGAAACGTGAGATGTCGTATTCCCATTATATATTATGTATTACTCGTACATCACTACTATACGTCAATATTCATAACGCTTTTATCAGCTATATTTTAATGTTTAAAAACTCGCGCGGTGTTTCGTTTGGCCATTGCCACCTCACTTTATTCACGATAGGAAGTGCTCTCGACAACTGACATGTGGGCAGATGCTTGACTTCATAACATGGTTGGCCGACAAATTGTTGATTTAGTGGGTTTGATGAACGGGTGTCGTCTGACCACTTCATGACAAAAAACGGTCACCACCGAGGTGGTCCCTTATCAACGTGAATTGAGTATTATTGGTCCCAAGGTCTGGCACTAAAATGGATATGATGTCGTTATCGCCTAAGTTTCGGCGGCACGTGTTCCTACATCGCAATTGAAACAAATTATGTGTGTTGCGCATTTACGATTTCGTCGGATATACAACGCAATATTATAAATAATAATAAATAATAATACAGGTAATATGTTTAATATGGTATATTACACACATGATATACGACGTAATAGATAGGTTTAACATGTATGCGACTGCCATTTTAACGATTGTGTTTACTTTAAATTACGCAGTTTTATATAGCCTTACTTGTGTAAAAATATAATGAACACACATGACGTATACCTAATATGTTCCTACTAAGACATAAATCTAATTACGTACTTAACAACATTTGTCATCAAATTATGTCTGATAATTAATCTAACCTCTTTACACACTATATAAAGAAGGTAGGTGCTATAGGTAGGTATCTACGTACCACGGGCTGGTCTTCTCAAAATGTGAGATACTAAAACTCCGTAATAATAACGACGATTATTAAAAGTTAATAATGACGACGAATAAAATTAGACACTAATTTATAGCTACTAAAACTGAAATCTGTAGATTTAGACGACGCTATAAACATGCTTATTTTTTGGCTGCCTATACTATATACGTGTAGTAATTATTATAATCTCAGTATTGTTTTATCCACCATTTATTCGGTGATATATCGGCAATCAACCCGTGGTGTGCGATTAATAATGATATGCATTTAAATAGTTATTTACTAAGAATAATTTTAAGATACTATTATGCTATTTGTATTTAAATTTTAAAATATACATTTAGCTATATTGCATACGTATAACCTACATGACGTATAAACATATGTAATACATAATAATTATATCATGTTATTATATTCTGGGTAAAATATTATAGCATAACAAAATAAATAAAATTTTGTTTTAGCTGGAAGGTACGAAACAATGAATAACTAATATTATAATTATTAACAATAACAAAATATTTAAGTTAAATTAAATTATTGTTATTTTTTTTTTTTGTACCAGTTGCTTCTATTAAAAAATTACTAAACATTAATTGTTTTGTTATGAAATAATAATCGTACCTAGATGTGTATTATTTTTAAATTAATATTTTTACGTTTTTATCGATTAATTATTACTATAGTAAATTTAAGTAACAATCGGCAATATCGTTATTGTTTTACTCCATATTCGTATATTATACTATATTAAAATTTAAAATTTACAAAATTTATAAAAAGTTTGAGATTTGTCCAGAATAATTTTGTGTTATCAGCAAAACGAAGATCAAGGAACCGCAATTGATCGTATTAAAAGTCTCTGGAAATTAAGTTTAGACTACATTAACTTGTAACACGCATATAAAAGCTTCATGCTTAAAAGTAATAAAAAAAATCGCACTAGTCCCAGTGGAATAGCATGGAGAAATCTCATACTGGTTGATTGAATCGATAACAAAGTGAGTTTAATACTCAAAACACAATTGATTTAAATTTAAGCTTTCTCATAAAATGTAAATCTGTATTGGACGGTAGTTTGTGATATCAAAAGATTTATTTGATTTTTAAATTGGAAATGATTAACCATTTTTCAAAAGGAAAGCGGAACACCTCTTTGAGGATATTTTTTGTGAATTGAAAATATTGATCGGCCGAAGACATTACGATAACGGAATAAAAAGATATCTGAGATACCATATAGCCCGAACCATTAGTGTTTTCTAATAATTCTAAGACTAATAGTACTTAATTAAATGCTAATAAAAGAGAAGATGGCAAAGAAATAACATTTTTTCATTTGTAAGTATATTCAACTTAAATAAAAAAAAAAGTTTATTTATTATAAATTCTTTTTTATACATAAAAAGAAAACATTTGATGTGGGTTAGCTGCATTTATAAATCATTTAAATGACTACTGTAAAGCTGCTTAGACTTTATATAATATCGAGCTCGTACAGATGTGATAATTTGTAATACTAATTATTGGTATTGGCATTATTTTCAGCTTATGATTTGTGATGCATCTTTGTTTCAATTTAAAAAATGTTTAGCTTTTTCAGTACAAGAAAAAAATCAACAGAAAAATCGGTTTATAAAAAGTACGCATGGCACACGTGTATAAATCACACTAAAGTGATTTCTGGAATAATTTGACTGCTTGGAATAAACTTTAGGATTGTTAATCAATTTATAAGACTTAAATTTATAATAGCTGAATCAAAGTATCTTCTATTGAAGTCTTGTTGTTTACATTTTGAATATATTGAAGAAAAAGTAGACGGATAAGGACACAAAATGGAGATTGTCAAGTTGTACGAGAGTATCTAAACATTTTTTTTTAAATAATGCGATTATTATTAAAAAAAAAGATAAAACTTAATTAAGAAAAAAAAATCATATTAGAGACGATATTTTTTTGATCAAAAAGTATAAAAAGAATACGAGTCATCTAATGACTAAACTTGATGGTCCATTATACTTAAGGTCAGATCTATTAATAATTCGACACTACTGTCTACTTTTGGAAAATTTTAAAGTCATTGCAGATATCATAAAAATAATTGAAGTTGTTAGTTTGCCTGCAACATTCAATGGATTCAGCATGACATCCGCAACACAGAATTGTTCTTATATCATTTCTATTAAATCTTAACGCGCGTTAAATAAATAAAAATATCCGCTCAACATTTATTTTTTAAAATTTGTATAAATTAGACATTTTGTCGATACCATCGAGTAGGTAAAATATAGACGCAATAACATGATAATAATATCAAAAATAAATTTAAAAAATAATTTAATTTGAACTATCTAATAGTTGTTTCTTAAAAATATAAATTTAGTTCACATTCACGATCTATTTAATATAAACGAGTGATGTTCACGTGCCATTCGCAAAATATGAACATAATGAATGTTTGCTCATGAATGCATTATTCTCAAACACTGTACAATTATAGTAGGTACTAGGTAAGCACTTTTTAATATTTTTTAACAATAATATTTTACTAAACTCTTATAATCTGTAGAGTGTTGGGTATTATACTAACTTTCGTTGCTAAGGTTGACGGTGATGTTTTTCTTAAAATTAAACCTATCCACGACGGACCTGAGCAAATTAGCTATCATTCCGGTTCCCTTGACCTTGATGTACAGGTTGTGGTGGCCGGTCTGGAAGTAATCGATTTTGGCGTGTCTCTTGATTACATCCAACGCTTCGTAAAACACAATGTCCAATAAAACCAACGACGAGGCAGCTATAATTTCGAACACCAATTTCACCAATGATTTGAACTGAAAATAGTAATACATGATTTACACAGTATCATAATTAATTATAGTATTCAATATATTCGAACAAAGCTAGTCTTAGATGCATTTGTACTTAATTATTCAGGACAATTGAAATTATACAACTTTTAATTATTAAAAAAAGCGGACAAACACGTAATATGAATATGCAGTATTAGGTGTCGAGTCTATCACGGTAGTTGGTTTACTTCGTCATTAACTAAATCACTGCAATATATGAGTTGAAATTGAATTATAATTCAATGATAAATCATTGTATACAAAATAACAATCTTGAACGAAGACTGTTTGAAAGTATTTCTAAGTACTTACAAGTATATTTTATGATTTATATTTACTTTATATTTAATTTATATTATTATTGTTATGATTTATTTTATTATTAGTAATATGGTAATTTAAATTAATTTTTCCCGAAGACATTATATTTATTATGTCATTATTAATATTTAATTATTCACTCTATTACATTAGTTATTAAATTTTGAGTCAGTACTGATATACCAACGAACGGTGAATAGTAAGTTCGCGATAAAAATAAGAAATAAATTAAAATTAATAGAAATAATTTAATAATAGCATTGTGTACATATAAAATATATTAATAATATAATATATGTTTAAGTTTTAAGTCCTTATGAATAATAGTTTTGAATTATTAGAAAATAATCAAAATCGCTATTCTTTATTTAAATATCTAATTTAATCAAAAATCAAAATTTGAATTTTAAATGTATAAAAATATTGGTGC